CCAGTTCCATATGGGGGGGGGGGGGGGGGACTGCACCCCCAAGTTCCTAGTCCCAAATCCCACAGCTCCAGCTGGGGCAAAAACTGCAAAAGAACTCAGGAGAAGGGGAGCCAGGCCTAGGCTGGTTCCTGGGCCTGAACTACTGATAGGTTCAGCTGAGAGTTCCCCTTTACACTGGTTCCTCTGGCTGGGTCCCTCCCTAGGGTTCCCCCCAGCCCCCTCCAGCGCCCTTTTCCTATGTCCCTGGGGTGACATCACCCCATGTATCCAATCAGGGGTCACCAGGCTTCTAGTTTTATGTCTCTTAAATTAATTTGAAAAAAAGAACGCTGTCCAGTAAGCCAGTTAGGCTAGGGGTCTGCTTTCCTCCTGCTTACGTGACAAGAAGCCAGGTTTTCTTGTTTACAGTAAACAGAAAGATGGTTCTAGGCAAAAGGTCTAAACAGAAGGCAGTTTCCTGCCTACGTGCTTGCACGTTTCTTTTCAGATAAGAAACAGCCAAGATACAGCAGAGCAAACACGTATTTAACCTGGTCATATTCAAACCAAAACTATTTTACAGCAACATAAGACTAGAACAGTTTGCAGTACAAAATGCTTGTACATTTTGTGTGTGAGTTACAAATAAAAATCAATGGAGTCACTTTAACAAGTGCAGGAAGAGGGATATTTAGAGCACCAGGATCAAACATCCCTTGCCTGCCCCAATGTGCATGAAGAGAAGAAACAAGGAAGAGGAGGAAGATGGAGAGATCAGTGAGATCTGATCTCTTAATTCTAATTTTTATGCTCCTCATTTGTCAAGGGACTGCATGGTATATAACATTGACTAGATATGCATATTTGTAATGAGATACATATAAATGTCCAGCATACACATATTTAAAGTGTTAATAGTCAACTGCAATGAGGAGTATATGGTATGAGGAAGGGGGAGTATTTAAAATACTTATTCATACTGACAGATGCATTTAATTGCCTTCTTCCAATTGATTCAGTGCTGGAATCAAACCCAGAAGGCTACTGAGGAGTCCTTTGGCTGATTTGTGATTCAGGGTTGTGACTCATTTGAGCAGTCTTGGGACATAAGCAGAGACAGTTTTATGTCTGGATCTCACAGTCAAATCTGTGTGGGCAGACACTTGTGCCCACAGAATTTTGCTGATTTAATTGCATCTTTTCGTGGATGGAAGAATATAACCATATGGCTCTGATTACAAGAATGGGGCTTACAGTATTGTGGAGAGACGAAAATCTAAGACTTGTGTTTCTACATTAGGATCTATTGTTCTTTCTCATACAGCCAAGTCCTATTCTTTTTTAGCTTTAGTTCTGTGTTTTGTTCTTGTAAATCTCTATCTCTTTATATATTTTCGTGGCATCCATTCTTGTGTGCATGCTTTTATCTCTCCGGATCTTTAAAACTCTTTTTTCTAAAGAATTAAAAAATTATCTAAGAATTCTTTAGAAAATTCTTTTTCTAAAGATTTTTTTCACAGCTGTCACTTATAAGAATCTTCTGCCCTTACATGTACTTTGTTACATACTGGAGTAACATCTCAGTAATATAAAACTAAATTTACAGTTGTATTGAATGCAAAAATAGAATATAACTGTGTCTACTTCCAGCGGGTTTCCATTGCTCCTTCCAGGAAACATGAGTTGGAATATATGTGCTTTCATATGCTGAAGCATATGTGCTTTCACCTACAGGTTTCCCTCGCCAACCATTGGGGTTGGGTTCCTGAAAGTTCCTGTGGTTGGCAAGACAAAAGTCTTATGGGAAAAATAGCAGGTGACGGGCTGATGTGTGGCCATGGAAAACTGTGGCTACTCAAAACTGTATACCTTGGTAGCCAAAATGGTGTATAGAATATTAAATGTGGATACTCAAAACTGGGGTTGGCAAAACCGTGGTTGGCAAGGGAAACCTGTACTGCCTTATCTGCAAATGGGGCAGTTCCAGTCTTACATGAAGGCAGAGTGAGAACAAAAGCAGCCAAGCAAAGTTGCAATTTAAATTTGACCTGGGAATGACTAGTGAGACTAAGAGCAGGAATCTTGAGGCCAATCCTTTCTCACCAGATCTCCCAGACCCTGTGTTAGTATCCAGACTCATCCCTTTCTTGGGGTTTGGCTATATTGGTAGCTGAAAACCAGTAAGACAACATAAATCAGCCATGCTGTTTCGGTGAGCTTGGCTATCTTCCAAGCCCTGTTTTTCCTAATCTCCTTGTTTTATTGACCCTTTTTCTCCTACTTTAAATTCAAAGTAGGAATAACAAGCCATTCCTGCCAGCAGAACTTGAACAGTTTTTGCACATGCTGTCATCATGGCTCAATGAGAGGCTTGCCACCAGGTAGAATTTAGTGTGGAGAGACTTTCTACTGCTCCTGCAGTTTCAGCTGGTGTCAGTTGGACTTGCAGGTGTCAGGCACCTTGGCAAATGTGGTCTTAGTTCTCCAAAGCTGGGGCACCCCAAATTATAGACAAATTGTAATCTTATTGCTCAGGGGGACTGGGAAGGAAAAAAAATGCTTTTTTTGGTAAAATCTTAAAAAAACAAACTTTTTTTGTTTCACACAACTCTTGCCAAAATGTAGATGTTTTCATTTCCGCCAGAAAAAATATTTATTTTTCTCAATTACTTTTTCATACTCCTATTTAGCTCTCCTACCTTCTTCATTTTCTTTTCTAGCTCTCCTACCTTCTTCATTTTCTTTTCTAGCACCTCTAATACTGAGTACTACTACTTAATTTCTTTAATAGAGGTGTTATGCAGCTCATTTCATGCATGTTTGTAAAACCCTTTGATATCTTTGCTTCTGTAGTGCAATACAAATGGAAAGTTATTTCAGTGCTTTTCTTCTTTCTTAGTGCCAGCTGTGGAATTTGTGCCAATTGCTATTTCTTGCATTGAGACTTGGAGTTTTATTATAGTTCATTGCAAAGGAATAGCAATGGCAATCAATTTGAGAACCTGCTAACCATTGTGATATGCACAACATCCTATTTTCAAAGCATCTTAAGTTAATGTATAGATAATGGCATAGAGCCCTGTTTAGGTGCTGCAGCCTTATCCTTGTTCAGATCGGTTGTTTACAGGAAACCACTCAACACTGCCTCATTTATACTAAAACTTTAATGGTTTTAAGAGCTTCTGCAAAAACACCTCACAGTACAGAAACCTTTTTTTTTTAAATAACAATAAATAATAGTATTGTTAGTTTTGCAAGAAGCTAAGCATTTGGACAGACATATATTTTGACATGTATTGCTGGCCTGACTATTATTTCAGCCTCATACAGCAGTTCTTTGACTGGACTTTCCTTATCAGTGTTCTCTGTCTTTATTTTTTCTTTTTAGTGAGCCTACCTCTGGATTCCAATCAGCCTGCCTTTCTGTCATCATTTGAATTTTTAGGGGTAAGGGGCAATTGGAGGGAAAGGGTTCTGTATTTTTTGGATAATAGTTAACTGTCTGCAACAGGTTTTCTGCTGCTACCACCTTTCACCTCTGCATCCTTAGTAGTTAAACCTTGACAGATTCATTAGAGCTGACATTAGGCTTAGATGTGATGTGGGTCACTGGCCTTCAAAATAAGAGATGGAAGTAGCCTTCTAGAAGAAGATGATGAAAGAAGATGGAGATGGAGAAGGAAGCTTTGCAACCTTAAAAGTAGACAGGTTTGAGCAGGAGACTCCAGCTGAAAGTTTAAGCATTTTAAAATGTGCTTTGGTAACAAAGTGGATCTCAGAATGGGCTTTTTATTTATTTATTTTTATTTTTTAGTAAACGTGTATTTTTTGTTTGAGGCTTGGTGGAAACACCACCAAGTTGCAGTCTTCGTGTACAAATATTATCTGAATTGCATTGTCATTGTTATGTCATATCTTAAGGCTTGGGTTGGAGTGAAGAATTACAATAGAAGTAGATCTCTAAATGTCTGAGAGCCAGTGCTGTAGCAAGGTGGGGTGGGGATGGGCAAGTGGAGCGACTGCCCTGGACGTTGAAGTGAAGGGGCGCCAACAGGTGCTGCCCAACTGGGACAGGGTGAGGGATGGATCCTTGAGCAGCTTGTTTGGGGAGGTGCAGGGATGGAAGGAGGGCAGCTCTCGCTGGTGCGTTCACTCCCGGGCAAGAAAGGGGGGGGGGGGGGGGCATGCCACGACACTGCTGATAGCCTTTCTCTGGATCAACTTGGAAGTAGGAGAGTGAAGATGCATCCAGGATCTTATCTCTTAACTTCAGTCCATAGAAGAAGGAGCAGAACCCTTTCTCTGACCTCTCTGAAGGTAGAAGACACCTGCAACAGTGTAACTGAAAGTACAATGTCCCAAGCTCCATCTCTTGCCCATGCTCAGGATGGGTATGTTGCCTACTTTGATTTAGCTTTGAAACTGCGAGCACAAATACCTTGATGTTGTTATTCCTGAGAAGGGTTAAAACATACTAGTGTCAGCATCACTACAGGAGAGTAACTGAAAATAGGCCAGAAGCTTTGGCTGGAAGAATTTGACAGTCCTTTCCTTGCATCTCCTTGTGTCAGTGTTTTAAAACAATGTGCAGTCTTTCATTCATATTATGAAAAGTTACTCAAAGTAGGTCTTGAACAGAAAAGCAGGAATCTCTCTTATACCTAGTGACTTGTACGTATAAACTTAGACTGCAGCATCACAGCCTGCAATGCTTTTTAATTGAACTAGAACTTATTTAGTTCTGTCTTCATTTCTAATTGGAATCACTTATCAGGAAAATGATGTACAATGAGAGAGATAGAGACAGAGGGCTCATCTACACATGATGCTATGTCACTGTAGCTATGCACTGTGGCAGTGTAGTGTCCATGGGTGTCTACACATGACCAGCAGCTACTTTGCTGTAATGGCATGCTCCCCCATTATAGCACACTGGGACAGCAAAGTAGCTGCTAAAAATAACCATGCGCTGCATGTACGGTACAGTACTGATGGGTACTGCGACATGCTTTAGTAGTTCCAAAAGGAAGTACTAAAGCACAGCGCAGTAACAATGTCAGCTTAGGGCAACATGTAGATGTGCCCAGAGAGAATAAAAACTAACAATAAAAAAGGACATGCTTAACAAGTGAATATGCAGGGGAGATGGTGATGTTAAAGGTCTGTTTGGCAGTTTGTCTGTTTCTAAGCAAAAGAATTCTGAAATTAAACTAGTGCCCCCTTTGCAAGGTAGTTTAGGTAATTGTCAAAAGGCAGGTAGGTTCCATGTGCTTAATAAAACAGAAAAGGGTAAACTTAAAAGTAAGGTATATAAAATAGGAATAAATATCAGGCAACTTTAGCTTTCTTGTAGGAAAATAAGATTGGATGGAATTTTAGGAGTTCATCTAGTCCAAACCTTTGCTTCAAAAGAGGAGCATCCCTGTCTAACCCATTTTAGCCAATAGTCATGAAGCCTGCACCTAAAAACTTCCAGTAAACTTCCATAAGCTCTCTAGGTAATCTGTTCCAGTATTTGACTACCATCGTACCTAGAAAGTTCTTCCTAATATCCAACCTAAATCTGCCGTTTTGACAATTTAAGCCTGTTAGTTCTTACTTACTTGCCTGTGGATACAGAAGAGTTGATTTTTCTGTCCTCTTCATAACATCATTTTTATGCTTAGAAACTGTTTTCAAACCCCTTTTATATGCTAAAATGGACCATCTTGAGCTGTTCTTTCAGTGTTGGCTATTAATAGAATTGGGGTTCTGTAGATGTTCATATTAACATGGAAATAGACTCATAGACCACTTCCCTCTCCCGTTTATCTCGGGCCCCTAGCCAACGTTCACATACATGTAATATTGCTGTAGTAATTACCCTATGTTGTGGCTATTTTTAGTTTGATTTAGTAAGTTGGCACAATGATGTGAGGACCACACATACAATAATGGAGGACCACACATTCAATAACCATTTTTGCAGGGATCTTTAGTGGTTCAAGCTATACAGTTTGAGAAGCTAGGAGAGGGACATGAAACACAACTCTGTTGCAGCCATGGGAACTGAACTTTTGTTTATTGTCCCTGGTTTTCTGGGGTTTTTTTTTTTTATTCTGTGGGTGAATCCCAAGTAGAGCCTTGCCAACAGAAACATTCACCTGGCCTAAACATGGGTTTTCATTTATTTATTTATTTTGCTTTCATTAGTTACAACAGTTTCTCACAGTGAGAAGTACTTTAGTGTACAGACATTGGGGAGGCTAGGGGGAGGTTTGATTGAGTTAAAAATTGCCACCTGATCTAAGGTAAGTTGGGATGGGGGGCTAATGGGGGGAGAGGCTCTGGGAGGGGCAAGCAGGGTCCATAGGGGGATCAGAGAATTAGGGGGGGGTAAGGGGGTGTGGGAAGATTTGGGGGGATTGAGGGGTTCTCAGCATCCATGGGGGTTTGGGGAGCATGGGGCTATTTTGATCCTCCCCAACCCCCCACACCTAGACAAACAACCTTTCCTGGAGAACCTACTCCCACAATCCTGCCACCCCCCACCTTGACTTACTTCCTGAGCTTCTGGCTCTGGCTAATTCTGGTAAAAGTGTCATTGGAAGTGGCTTGTGAAGGGTTTGGCAGGCTCAGGGGTGGAGGGCTGGCTGGCTGGTCTGTGGGGCGGGGGTGGGGGAGATGGACTGGGGGTTTAAAAATAGCCTGGTGCCGGGGGGGGGTAGGAAAAGTTCAGCCCCAGGGCTGTGGCCAGTGGCTGGGCTTTCCCAGCCCTGGGGTTGCACTGGACAAAAGTTCAGGACAGGTAGATTGGTCTAAACTGGACAACCTGATCTAAGTTAGGTGTACCTCAGAGGTAGGGTTAACTTAGATCCGGTCCGCCATTTTTAGTCTGATCTGACTGTCCTGAACTTCTGTACAGTTTGTACTTAGATTGACCTAGCTAGTGTAATGTCTGCACCTAGGCAAATTCAGTTAGATTGGGTGGCCATTTGTGATGCGACTTAAGCTCCCTGAATGTCTGTACTCAGCCTTAAGCTTTCTTGCTACGTCTGTCCTGTGTTTATAGAGTAATCTGTTCCAGGTTTGGGGAGGCTGGTTGTAGTGAAGCTCATTGCATAGGGTTCCTCTGCTTTCTACTGAAGAGTTTCTTCATCTCATCACCATAGCTCCTCCTCTGCCTTAAAAGAGGCATGGCTCATCTACCAGACATGTTGATATATTCTCATCCTTTCCCTGTCATTTACCAAATGCAGGAAGAATCATCCATATCTTCATTTATAAGAAAGACTTACTCAATTATTACAACTATAAAGGTTTCCTATAAAATAATTTGGATTTCTCTGGGAAAGAGAGAATCTAATTGTTCTGAAGGTCAATCTCAGAAGGGATTTCTTTGCTTTGCAATATCTCCCAGTGGCCAGCCTTTAGACAGACAGTTCTGTGCTACATAAGTAGCGAGGGTTCAGTATTGGCTTTCTAATAGCCAGTGTCATTCTCAAAGTGTGTTAGGGGAGGGGTAGGAGGAATAGATAATAAAAAAAAGCCATTATGGAGGGAGGCTCCTTAGAGCTCTTCTTAACTCAGCTTCTCTATGTATAGAAACTGACCCAAAATTGAAATTTATGTCATTTTATAAGTATCATTAGGAGAACAATTATGCCAAATGATGTGCACTGAGCAGAGAAGCTGTGAAAGCCCCACATAATAATATCATCATGGTTTTAATTCTCCCTATGTGAATCTTGTATTGGTATACTACAAGCTGTTCAGAGCTACTTAGAATAGAAAAATAAATCTTGTAGCAAAATTATCAAAAAGGATAGGAAAAATAAAAATAAGAAAATGAAAAATGATCACATGATAGGTTTCAGGTTTCAGATTTCTTGTAAAGATATTGTGTATTTTGGCCAAGATTTTCAGTTATTTGGGGTTCTTCAGTTTTTAGGGTCTCCAACTTGAAGTGCCTGAATGAAGCTAGTTCTGGGTATCCATGAACTATTAAATCATAAAAAATGAAATGCAGTTTATAAAACTAGCACTAAATTAATGTAAAGCTGCAAAGGCTTGCTGAGGAATAGATGTTTTGACATTATAGATACGAAATACTTTAGGCAGATGTAACAATTGAGAATTAAGCTAGGTGAATGAGCAAAAATATTAAAGTAGTTTAAAAATGGTGTTGTAGCCATGACGGTCCATAAATTATGTGAGAAGCAAGGCCTTCTTAGGGTGATATCTTTTTTTGGAGCAACTGCGTAGTTGGGATGAAGTTAGATGAGCTTTTGAATGTGAGACTTTCTTCCTCAGGTCTCACATTTGAAAGCTTGTAAAAGACATCACCCTAAGAAATCCTAAAACATATTAAAGTCCACTGGATTTGAGGCATGGGTCTAATTGTAATTATTTAAGAAGATCTGGCCTTCCATCTAATTAACTAACTATCACTAGCTTACTTTCGAAAAATGACATGTTAATTATCCACAAAGGGAAAAAAGATGATGGATGGTATCATGTAGAAAAAAATGAGCATAAATAATTCCTGTGACCATTGTGGAGCAAATATCCCAATTAAATCAGAAACGCACTATATCATCCACCAGACCAGAAGCTACATATTGCATGATAGGATTAAGAATTTGGATATTTTTAACGTGGCTTAGCCAATGCTTTACATGCAGATACTCCAGGCAAAGTTACTTTCATCTTGGATGGCAGAAATTCATATTTAAAAAAACCTTGTGCAGTATGTAACTAGGGTGGACAATTGGGGCACCAGTCTCAGGTGCCCTAGTAGAGGGTAGTACAAGATAGCAGCTATCACCACCTCTGCTAGGGGTGCAGAACCTGATTATTATGCCTCTGGTCTTGTGGTATTATTAACATGTAGAAAGAAAGTGAATGAAACTTTCAGAACAGAGTTTGAAAATTCGTCTAAATTTAGTATGTTCTTTTTATCAATTCCTAGAGTATAATGCAGACATTTCATTGTGCAACAGTGGCACCTAGTGGAGGCTGGAATTATAACAGCTGCTCAGTTTATAGGTACCTGAGACTGTTTTTTTTAAATTTCCCCTGTTCATAACTATAGGCCTCAATTTAAAAAAAAATAAAAACACATTGCTATTCAGGACAACGTTCAGGCACATGCCTATGTGCTTTCAGGAGTCAGGCCTGCAGTGACTCATTTATCAATTTATGTTTTCATCTTGCAACTCTAGATTATCTGAACAGTTCTGCTTCTTGACCCAAGTCATTTATCTCCCTATCAGAAGGAAACACTTAGGGGCTTCATTAATTAAAAAAAATTACTTCTGTGTAAACAAAAACATCACTTCCAAACGCAATGCATTAACTCAAAATATAAAATCAATCTAATCTACCCTTGTGTATAATCTCAATGCACTGATCTCCATTCCTCTTTCCCATTAAAAGGGTCAGATTGCCAAAATAGTTTGTACTATTGCTCAAAGACTAATTACATAGAAGCATGCCTTATCTTACCCTTGAAACTCTAGCTTCAACTTCTGTTACACTAGTTATGATGATGTTACATACGTTAGTGAGACCAGGCTCATTTAGGGTGAGCATCTTTTCAAAAGGGAAAGGCGGGCCACATGTTTGCATCCCCCCCTGCCTCATGCATAAATCTGGAGGGGCATGTGCCCCCCGACTATGGTCCCCACTCCCTGGGTGAGCTGTCCAGGGCTCTGTCTGACTCCATGCCCTGGCCCCATGCACTGTCCTGGCTGGGCAGTGCCCCTAGCCCCTGCTCCACTCCCTCCTTCACTCTTGATTTGCCCTCCCCCACACACCCTATACCGCTTTGCACACCATAGACTTCACTGCAGAAAGCTGCTCTCCAGGCTGCCTAGCTGTGTTCCCAGCCACATGCATGTATGAGGGCATGCACATGCATGTGGCGCCCCTGGCATCCCACTCCCAGGAGCCCCTTGCAGGCGGAAACCTGCTGTTTCCCTATCCCTGCATGATGCTGCAAATTCAGGACAAACCCTCCTGTCCAACCAAACCCTGTCCTGCCCAATTAGGGATGAGTAGTCACCCTAGCCTCAGTCCCATCTTCAGTCCCATTTGCCATGTGTGCACAAATGCTTTAGAGAGAATCCATCATTGCACTGCAGCTCATTGTTCCAGCTGTGTTCATTCAGAGGGGCCAAGCTCAACATCAACATCCCAGCATCAGCGTAGGGCTGGAGATAGGAGGAAGGATGGTCAGGGTATCTTTGCAAGTGATTCCTCACAGTTTCAGTGTCTTTTAACAATGATATAAGATGAAGCAGTCCAGACATTCTTTGGGGACTTCATCTTCACTGACAGCTGGTGCAGGAAGACTCTTAATTGACCCTTGAGACCAGGACAGCTGTGAATCTGACCCTCTGCCTCTGACTGCACCACTATGTGGTCCTGCATTTTGTGGATTTATGTCAGGCATTTACCATCTCTTTAAAATGAATTTGCATGTTTCCAAATCCTCCTCATTTTCCTATGTAAGTTTAAAATGGTACAATATCTGTTTTTGAAAGAAAAGTTCTTAGATATCGGAAAAGACAAATTGATCAGCCAAAATTAACAAAGGTCATTACAAGAATTGCGCCTATCTTCAAGAAAGTGAGGAAAGTAGATCTGGCAAACAGGCCCATCAGCCTGACCCCTATCCTGGGGAAGGTCTTGGAAAAGATTGTCAAAGAGGCCATCCTTAACAGACTAGCTGAAGGCAATATCCTGAGGGATACCCAGCATGGGTTTGTTGTGGGTAGGTCTTGCCTGACGAATCTCATTTCCTTTTAGGACCACGTGACCTTTCACCTGGATAAGGGGGAAGAGATTGATGTTGTATATCTTGATTTAAAAAAAGCCTTTGATCTGGTATCCCATGATCACCTCTTGGCAAAGCTGGCTAACTGCGGCCTCGACCTCACCACGATCCACTGGCTGGGGAATTGGCTCTACAGTGGTGGTTGATGGAAGCCTATCATCTTGGAGTGCGGTCACCAGTGGGGTCCCTCAAGGCTCTTTCCTAGGGCCTATACCGTTTAACATCTTCATCAATGATGTGGACATTGAGTCAGAAGCGGACTGGCCAAGTTTGCTGACGACACCAAACTCTGGGGTAAAGCATCAACACCGGAGGACAGGAGAGTGATCCAGGCAGATCTTGACAGGCTCATGAAATGGGCGGATGAGAACCTGGTGGTGTTCAACACCGATAAATGCAAGGTTCTCCACCTTGGGAGGAAAAACCTGCACCATGCTTATAGGCTCACAGTGCTACACTGGCTAGCACTATGAATGAAAGGGAATTGGGGGTCATGATAGACCACAAGATGAACATGAACCTTCAGTGTGATGCTGCAGCTAGTAAAGCGAGCAAAATGCTGGCTTGTGTCCATAGATGCTTCTCAAGCAAATCCCAGAACATCATTCTCCTGTTGTACTTGGTCTTGATGAGGCCGCATCCAGTTTTGGGCTCCACAATTCAAAAGGGATGTGGAGAAGCTTGAGAGAGTGTAGAGAAGCCACATGCATGATCAGAGGTCAGAAAAACAGACCTTATGATGAGAGGTTGAGAGCCATGGGGCTCTTCAGCCTGGAAAAGCGTAGGCTCAGGAGTGATCTGGTGGCCACCTACAAGTTTATCAGTGGTGCTCATCAGGATCTGGGGGAACGTCTGTTCACCAGAGCCCCCCAAGGATGACAAGATCGAATGGTCACAAACTCTGCTGTGACCGATTCAGGCTGGACATAAGAACTTCTTTATTGTCCGAGTCCCCAGGGTTTGGAATAGACTGCTGCCAGAGGCAGTTCAGGCACCCACTTTGAACGCCTACAAGACACTCTTGGATGCTAGTCTTGCTGGGATCCTATGACCCCAGCTGACTTCCTGTCCCCAGGACAGGGAGCTGGACTCAATGATCCTCCGGGGTCCCTTCCAGCCTGAATGTCTATGAAATCTATGAAGAAAATCTCCAGAGTTTGCTGGTAGCAAATTGTCCTTGACTATCTGTCGTAGCTCAGTCCAGCTGACAAATGCTACAGTGGTGGATGTATCACCTGAGAATAATGTTTCAGAATGCAAGGCAGTGACCTGTGTGCATGTGAATCCTCACACCAACTGCAGATACTTCCTCAGCCTGATGAAGGGTATTTATACCTGAAAGCTTCCAAAGAAGATTTTTTCCAACTATTTGAGTTGGTCTAATATAAGATATCAGATTTGCCCAAAGAACCCTGTCTGCCTATGTTCTTAGACCAACACAGCTACAACCTATACCCCTGTAACATGAAAGATATTCAGTTTTGCCATTTGAAATGAAAACTATACAACATGAAAAAGAAAGAAGCCAAACTCAACAGTGACCAGCCTCTGGCTTTATTACTTTTCATTCCATCCAGGAAGAGCACATGCCAAATACAGATGCTTCTTCAGCCTGACAAAAGGTATTTATACCCGAAAGCTTGCAAAGAAGAATTTTTCCAACTATCTGAGTTGGTCTAATAAAAGATATCAATTTTCCCCAAAGAATTTTGTCTGCCTTGATAAAGGAGGTCACACATGGTAGGACCTAAGGCGGATTGTAGAAGGAGGTATTAGGAAGGACAACTTGTATTAAATGGATGACATAACTTATATTTCAAGTAAGAACAGGTAACTGAGGTACACACATTAAATCACAATTGATTTTCCTCACAGGAGA